ACAAACATCACATCAGTCTTTCATGTGATAAGCCCCCAGTGGCACAGCAGTATGTCTGCAGACTTACATCGCTAGAATCCAGATTTTGATACCCGTGGTGGGCAGAGCACAGATAGCCTATTGTGTAGCTTTGTGCTTAATTACAAACAAATCATGTGATAAAGTGGATTAAAACACAATTACAGATGAACCAAAATACTCTTTTAATTAATGTTAAAGGGCAATGCATTTCTTTGACTGTCAGATTTGTGGTAAATATATTCATCCTTACACAGGCAAATACCTTTTAGACACAGTAAATGAGTTCAGACACACCTTAATTAATGAATAGGTTAAACAGTTGCCAAGTTTTTTTATTTTAAAAAGATGATGAAGAGCACTAATTGAAATGTCACCCTTTTAAAATAGAAATATAAACTTGGCAGCTGTTTAACCTATTCATTAATTTTAATATCTTTGTTGCCTATGCAGTTAACTATATATTTCTTTTTCAGAACAACTTTAGATAAGTAAAAAATTTAAACTCTGATCTTCTTGTAACCAGACCCATTAATTCTGACATTCATTTAATCAAACTGGCATTCCCTTGTCTAAAACATTTTATTTTACGTGTTTTGGGGTTAAATGAAAAATTTTTTTTTTAACTATTGTTAATATGAGCTTCATAAGTGTATATAATTTTTTATATCCTAAATTACTTTTAATTATATTATTTTTCATACTACCTCACCTTATTGCCCCACCCATAAACAAAAACTATACTGTATAGGTTTCTAGTACTTTTATGTATATAGCTCTTGTACATTTATTCGCCTTTATGTAAAGCATGGTATAATTATTATTCATTTTGCTTAACTCTTAAATCTTAAATAAAAATATAAGTGTGCTATAAAATTATTCTAGTAAGGAGGGCTGAATGTCACCTAGTTGTCAGTGTGGCTGGACTGTGAATCCAAAGATTCATGGTTCATGACCCTTTGCTGCAAAATAAAGTGCTCACTTTAGAGTTGTAGGAACACTGTAAGAGTGATGGTCAAGTCATACTATTCCATCATTATTAGAGTAGCCCAAGAGTTTGCAGTGGGTGCTGCAACTGACTACAAGCTTTCCCTTTAGTTTATCAGTTTAAAATTAATTATGGATATCCACAGATAGCACCTTTGTTGCTTTGTGTGAAATTTTGCAACAAACAAATAAAGTATGAGAAAATGTTTAAATTTCAATGAAAAAAATTGGAAACATGTTATTGCAGCTGGATCATGGATGTAGTATCTGTGGTTATTTTTCAATGCAGGGAGGATATTGTATACCATCTTTAGCAGAAGGTGTAGCCTTGTCACTTCGTACATTACTAGGTGATCCATGCCCTGATATTGGCTCTGTGCCTCGACCATGTGAAAGGTGATGGTTATGTACATGTTTTTTTAATATGAAAAATTTTGTTTTAAATTTTTTGTATTGGTCTCAAGTAATCAGCTGCAATTTAGTTTTAAGTTTAAGAATTAATAAGATATTTTTCAAATTAGTGGAGTACAAACACATAAAATGTAAAATAAAAGTGTTTATTATGTATAATTACAAAGTTTTCTTTGAATAAATGTTTTAGAAGAAAATTCTTCTACATTTAAAGTTTTGATAAAACATGAATGTTTTTCTGTATCTGTTCATTTTTAATATAGATAAAATTACATTATAATAGTTATTAAACTTATAATATTTTATAGCTGGCTGTACTTAAACTCCAACAGATAACTTTTGTACCAATTGCATTTACTATTGAGTGAAATTTTTAAAATTCAAACTAGCTAGCATAAATGTATTATGTAAACATCTTTTCTGATGTTTGTAGTGTTGTAGAGACAATTCTGAATGTCATCTCAGTTCATCGACAATTTTGGCACAGTTTAGTGCTGCAGGGGAGCTACAAAGAAAATGAGGATGAAAAAGCCATGGATAGAGTCAGGTAGAAATGAACCTTCAAAATCTTTGTAATGGCATTTCCACACAAACTGATTATGTGCAATATCAAAATGTGCTAGATATATGGACTTGTTGCCACAGATATGGGTCTTATTAATCACTTCATAATATGATGTAAAACCATTCCATTTCTGTTTTATTAAGTTTTGCTTTCATATAGGTTCTGACAGGTATCTGCATGGTGCAATATATGTCTTCATTTTTGTTTCAAAAATAAACCTGACCAGTTGATGAATAATGTTGAAATTAGCTTCTCTAGATGGTTCCAAACATATCCGATAGGTGTTAAAAGTTTAAATCTGAGTGGGACATTTTAAGACCTTGATATTGATACTTTGAAATTAGACATGAGTCATTACATACATACATATTGATCTGATTACTAAAAACTCAATTACGTCTTGAAACATGTTTATGTAATATCTTTTGATATCAACTATAATTTAGTTGTGAACACAATTTACAGATAGTATACTTTCCTAATACCATCATACCTCCCCACAATGTTTCATAGTTGATGTAACACAGTTGTGGTCTAATTCTTCACTTGAACACCTTCTGACCTTATTTGATCACCAGTTTGAAACTGGGTGAATAGCTCCATTGCTTTATAAAATTTGCAATGTGTCATCAAGATTTCCAGACCAAGGATTATACATCAAACTTAACAGTGCTAAGCATTCTTGTGGGTGAAGTATGGTTTTATATTCCAACCTTTTCAGAGCACCTATATTCATTGAGAGTATGCTGCACTACACATGACATCATTGAACACAGCTAAACCACTGTGATATTAGTACTAAGCTGATGTCTATCACTTTTTGGAGATGCTAACAGCTTAATGTTTTTCACATTGAAACAGCAATTTCTGTTGATCTGACTTTTGTAGATGTATCTTCAAGTTCATGGTACCATTGAGTACTCACAACCACAGCAGATCACAAGGGCCAAGGTATTGCAACCACTTCTCATGTGAGTTTTGTACTTTATTAGCAGCCTATAATGTCGCTTTCTTCTCTCAGATTACGATAATTCATGATCTTTTGGGATCTTGCACACACTTTTATGCTACTGACCTACTCAGCTGATAAGTATCTGTATCTGTACTTGTCAAATTTCCATGCAGGACCTGCTAGGTATGGTCAAAGTCACATATTTGATTTGTGTTTCGATACTAGGCGTTTCTTGCTTGTCTATGCTATATATATACAACCTGTAATTTATATTGTTTGTTTTTATTTGCCTCATAGCCAAAAAAACTTTCAGCTCTAAAACAACAACAGTGTTATTCAATAGTAAAGAAGGAGTCAAATAAGGGAGAATTTGAATGAAAAATTAGTTTATTGTTTTATTTTGTAGTTTCTTTATAAAAATGAAAGTTGTGTCCATTGTCTTTTTTAGATGTAATATATATATTACTTGATATAAAGAAATGTAATAATAAACACATTTAAAATAGGTCAGTAGGATAGTATGTAAAATATGCTATAAATGTGAGTTAAAGTTTAGGTTGCAAAAAATAATTCCATTTTGTATTTTATGAACTTGTTCCAAAAAAAGAAAGAAATTGAAAAGGTTAAGGCATGTATTAAATATGAAAAAATACAAAAAATAGTCCATTTTATGAAAAAATTCCATTTCCTCTAAAACGTTGAACTAGATTTATCAGATAATATTAAAGATAATTCTATTGAATCAAATAATAATCTTCCTTAATGAATGTTGGTAATTAATGGAGTTTCTCCATGTGTTAATTTGATATTCAATAAATTAGTGAATAATTTTTTTTTTTAATTTTTACTTTCAGGTATATATTTAATAGAATCCTTGCATAATTTTTCAGACAGTTTTAATTCATGATTAGTGTAATTAACAGAACATACATTAAACAAAAGATAGAAATAAAATTTAAAAACTTACAATACAAAATCCTACATATTTCAAAGAGCCCAGACATTCTTCTTCAGGGATTCTGAAATCATAGTAATTGTGTAAAAAAATTATACATTTTTATTTCCATCTTAAAAGGAATTAACTTTAAGTATGGAAGTAAAGAAAATACTGTTATTAGCTTCAAATGCTTTTTTATTTTTGTGTTAGGCATAGACCAGAAATTCGTTTTGAAGGACCAGTTCAGAAGCCAGAGACTTTTCCAACAAAAGATTTGAACTTTCGCTTGGACCAGGAACTTCAAGCTGAACTAGAGCAGCAGTTAAAAGGGTTAATTGCCAAAACTGATCTTGCTGTTTCACCTTATCGAACTGCTCTTGCATTTGATGAAAGGATGATGAAGCATCAGAATCCCATGGGAAGGTGTCATTTTGATTGATTTATGAAACCTACATATTCAACACTCACTATATACACAAAATTGTTTAAATGTTTTTGTGAATGTGTTTAACCTTCTCACCATGGGCAGGTCAAAGTGCTCATGTCATGATTTTTTAGAGAGTTACATTCAAAATTTAACAAAGCTACTTTATTATCATGGTATATGAATAAACTTGGCATGAAAACATAGCTAATAAATCAGATTTTAGTATTATTTAAGTTTTAAGTTCTTAACTATATAAGGAAGTGTTTAAATAAATCCTCATTCTCCTCTAGTATGAGAACTGTGACATTTGCTCTCTAGGTCTTTCCTCTTCTCTAATGTATTTACCACTCCTCTGGGAAGTACAGAAGTTAACATAAATTACTCATTTTAATTTAGTTATTACTCAGGCAAAGCATAATTTTATAGTCTTCAATTTTATTTGTTTGTGGAGTCATAAACTAGAGAATCAAACCCACTTGTCTCATCCTCTTTTGCACGAATTGTCATTAGTTCTCTCTCACATATTATATTAACTGATATAAAGCCAAAGTTTTAATCTAGGAAATGACATATTATATTGAATTGTTTTCTGTACAGAGAATTGTCTATTATACTTCCAGTTCAAACTTTAATCCACGGGAAACATGTTGATGAGCTTAGCTAAATTTTAGCAGCTCTTATCACATACTTAGAAAGGACATTTTCTGCTTTTTACGTGTTATTATTCTATTTCATTATGTGCATTATTTAATTAAATAAAAAAATATTTAGTGTAGTACCATTAGTATATAAAATTAGGGTTAAGTTTCAATGACAGTTGACAGCAAAAAAATAAGACCAAGGTAAGTACTATATTTCTTATTTTTCAGGAGTATTTATTATTATAAAAGTAACTAAAAATGTAAAAATTTGAAATCTAATAGGTTAAATAAGGTTAGATTAGTTAAGATAAAGATAAATTACAATGATAAAAAATGTTCATGAGATCTTCTCTTGAGTAGCTCGTGCATTACATAATTTGATAAGGTAATGTGAGCTACACATTCACTGAGTGATTTTCAACTTATGTGGCAGGATTATTAGTTAGACACAGTTCAGTGTGCAATAAAACAATTATGTTTAAGTAGAATCAAATGTATACTGTTACAAGTTTTAAGCTATTTAGGATAAACAAATGTAGTTTCCTGTTACAGTTTGAAATCATTCTAGAAAGAAAAAGGGTAACTTAGTTTATTTCAAATTTTTTTATGGTGGTTACAAGGTAAGTAAAATTGACCGACCTTTGTATAGAATGAGGATAGAGAAAATAACAAAATAAAATATAAAGTTTTTCTGAAAATAACTTTTGGAATTTATTTAGGAGGTTTTAGAGGTTATACAAACGAAATTTGACAATTTTCAGATGAAGAAAAGTGTTTTTAATCTTAACCTGAAAATCACTTTGTACTCAGAGCAGTCAACACTTTGACTACATATATT